TGCCCCCGCCTGGACGGCGGCGGCGGCGGCGGGAGGAGCCGGCAGGCGGCGGCGCGATGGGGCCCCTCCGGGAGACCAAGGTAAGGGGGGCACGCCGTGCGGGCGCCGGAGGGAGAGGGAAGGTGGGCACTGAGGGGCAAGGAGTGGGCCAGGTGAGAGCTGAAGGGTTGGCGTTTCGGTCGGGGTAAAGGAGGTGGTGGGGACGAGGGCGAGGCAGAGGGGCATTTGCTTAGGTGAGGAGATCCGGGAGATTGGGCAGTGGTAGCGGAGAGAGATTTGGGAGGGTTGACTTGAGAATTAAAAAGACTGACTTTGGGGGTGCGGGTTTTCATTCTGTTTCCTGAAATGAGGGCTGTGAGATGTTGCTTTCAGCTGATGTCCTGTGTGTGTGATGCGAATAAAAGGCATTCCATGTATTCATGACTGAGAAGTAAGGACTCCAGCGAGTCAGTGACCCAGTATTGGTTCGAGGTCTGTAGTGTGCCAAGCGGAGCGACTGACGTGTGATACCTGCTGGGTGACTGATGTGCAGGACACATGCAGAGGTTGGGTGTGGCTGGCAGCCCCAGGGTAGATGGGTGTCCCAGTGGCCATGGAAGTTTCTGGGGTTGGGGTTTTCTCTTCAATTCCTGAACTGTGCGGCTTCCCAGAGGTAGTTATTTTGGCCTTGACTCTTCTTGGTAAGCTGGTGGAAAAGAGCAGGAGGTCGCGTTGCGAAATGGTGTTTGTTACCCAATCCAAAGCCCTTTTTCAGTGGCAGAGGTTGGAGGCAAGCAGTGAAATTTTTGCAAAAGGCTCCTCCCAGGAATCCATTTTAATAAGACAGAGAGAGTCGTGGTGACCCTGAAAAGCACTGGATTTCAAGCTCTTTCTGCTTCTGTGGTAGATATGGGAAGTCTTGGCTAAGCATCTTTCCCTCTGTTAGCCTCAGTTTCCTCATCTGTAAATAGGGGTACAAATTAGTGTCCTCTTTATATTACGTTATAGCCTGGGGTGTAAAGATCAAATGAAATCATGGTTAGAGAAGCACTTTACAAATTAAAAACCATTTCAAATTCTTACTTTTGTATGCATTTTTTTTAATAACTAAGGCATGGTGTAGGATTTAATGCTGTGTTTTGAAAGAGAAAAATCTCTTCTCATGGGTAACCTGTAAGGAAAACAAAAGCTAAACATGATGCAAAAGGTGGAGCCATCTTCCCGGGTGTTGGATTTGTGTTTGCTTTTCTGTTGGCAACAAGCCTTGTGTACCAGGATATTAATGAATAATTAAGATCCTGTCCGGAAGAGGAGGGATGCTAAAGATAAGTGTGTGTGATCCATTAGGAAAGAATTGCTCCAGGTATAGGAGTCTACTTTGTGAGGTGACAGGAAAACAGAAATCAAATTGTCACAGTTAATGCAGAGAAAGCAAAATGGAAGTTCTATATATATAGTAAGGCGAGTGTACTGCAATAAAGAGCCTTTGAGATCTGAAAGCTTGAATGTGATAGAGAAAGGCAGAGTGGGAAGGTGAGTCAGAAATTGCATGGGGAGTGGATTGGCATGCCTGCTAGTGGATGGAAGTGTGTGTGTGTTTTCTGTGTGTATGTGCACATGTGCATGTATGCGAGTCAGTAGATTGCAGGGGTTAGCATGGTGGAAGAATTTGGGAGTTCATTGCAGCAACTGAGATAAGGACTACCCTAACTGAAGATTCAGTATTCAAAAATGTGATATCCTAGAAAATGAGCCTTGAAGCAACCTCAGCTAGTAGTTAAGAGGAGAAAACAAATGTCCTTTTCTTTCTTGATGTCCAATTTTGAGAAGGAGCAGAGAGTGCAGCATCATGAGAAGGAGATTTCCCGAAGCCGAATTCCCCGATTGATTCTTCGGCCCCATCTGCCCCAGCAACAGCACAAAGTGTCCCCATCCTCTGAGTCTCCTTTCTCTGAGGAAGAGAGCAGAGAGTTCAACCCCAGCAGCTCTGGGCGCTCAGCAAGGACCGTTAGCAGCAACAGCTTCTGCTCAGGTATGGTACCCACGGGAAGCCTCCACAAGCAGGAAGCATGTGCATGCAAGTGCATTGTGCATGGGCCTGGGCTGGACCCCTGAAAGCCTAGAACTGGACTATTAGGATGAATTGTTCAAGGTTCATCATTTCAGCAATTTTTACCTATAGATGCATGGTTTCTTATGGTTCAAACCTATGGAATTTCATACCTGTTTTTATATATAATTCTAATTTAGAATGCAAAAATCTAACTTTTTGTTTCTACAACTGTTCAAAAAAATGTATTCCTTCGCTAAATCTAGAAAAGACATTAGACTGAATTTTATGCTAGCATCTGCTACAAGCCTGTGTACTTCTGATTCTGCAATCCCCAGAGGTAAAGCAGTGCTTAACAAATGAGGTCAAGATCAAGGCTCTCCCAGGGCTGGCCTGGCCTTACAGTTTAGCAAAGAGCACAGGCTTTGTGATCAGTCATGCCTGATTACAGCAGAGGTTGGAGGCATTGTCCCTTCCACTACCTGCACATAGTGTGACTTTGGGCAAGTTGCTTGACCTACTTAAGTCTCAGGTGTATCCATGAAATAAATGGTTTGGTAATACTTACCTTACAGGTTACTGTGAGGTTGAATAAAATCGTGTTCCCAAATGTACTCCTAGCACACTACCTGACTTAACAGAGGTACTTAGTAAATGAGTTCTTAATTTAATAAACTATGAATGTCACTTTGGGCACATAATTAAGTGTTCCTAGAACTGTGAGGATATTTGGTAAGGGCACAAGTCTCTACACTTTTGAAGGTGCCACCATTATTATTGATTCATTGAAGCACATGGCAGACTGTACCCTTTGAGAAGTATTAGGAATTTGTGTAGAATTTAAAGGAGTGACTGTCTTAGGATTAGTGAAATATGTTTCCTGGTGGATAAGTTTTTTAGAACTTATTTAGGTAATGCGTAGTTTGAAGATGGATGAGAAAGGGACATGTGAATCAAGGTATTATAATTAATGTTCCAATTTAGCAAGAGGTAATATTCCATTTCATTTAATGCTGGTATCTACAGTTTTCAAGGATTTTACAAATGCAGCATTGGACTTATTACATACTTTGACAGAATAATTCTATCCCATGTATACATTCTGTTGGGTCATAGAGAAAGCCATGATGCATTTTCACATAGAAAAATATGTCATGACTTTCCTGACAACCTGATATATTTAAAACACTATCTTTCATTATATGCTATCTTTTATTATATTTTTTCTATAATATCTCAAATTTTCTGCTTGGCTCTGAGAAAAATTGTATCCAAACTTTATGCTTTAAAACTTATTCCTTGCCTTTTGAATATTACAAATTTTGTTGAACATGGAAATCTACTGATGACTTACTTAATACTCTCCTAACAGAAAACCAAAAGGATATAACTGATAAGCTAGAGAAGTTAAGATTTCTAGAACTCAGAGTTGTATTTGCAGAAGATTATTCTATTTACCGTAACTCAAAGTAGAGTTTGGAACTCAGGGCTTACTCTGGTGAGTGCAGAGGGATTCTGGTGACATCATTTCAAACTGGCAAGGTTTTGTTTACAAACTCAGTTTCATATTTATTTATTTTTATTTATTTTTTAGAGGTTTTCGCTATAGGGTGCGTGCTCTCTCCAGGCAGACAGAGAGAGACAGAGAGACAGAAAGCAGGAAATCACCCCCCAGGGGGGGATGGCCACGCTGCAATCCCTTCTCCTCTGTTCTCCTCTCAGGATCCTGGGCACGCACGCACACACATCTGGCTTGAGTTTTAAGACACCGGGTCCGGGACGCGAACTGTGGTCGACCACGTGGGAGTCCAGCGACATAGCCATTACGCTAACTGCTGGTCCCTATATTTATTCTTGATATTCTCTCCATGCAGTCTGTTTCTCTGTTGCCAACTTCAGGGTGAGTAGCATTATCAGAAAAAAAAGAAAAAGTTGGTCAAAACAAAGCAAAAGGAAAACTCCAAATTTATCTTAGAAAACATAGAGGCAGGACAATGAAATTATTAATTTTGGTTATGACTCATTCTCTCTCAGACCCATTTCCTGAATCATTCCTCCTTCCCAGGAGAGCTGTCTCCCACTAAGGCCATAATGCTGTACATGAAAATCGAAAGTAGATATTGATCCTCTGCCATTAACTAGCTGAGAATTGAGTGACAGAAGCATATAATTATGGGTGTCTCTGAGCTGACCTTTTAATCTTTAGCCTTGCACCATGGCTCCAGATAGGATTCCCTCCATTTCTAGGCCTCTCTCATCTTTTTCTCATCTTCCTGTGTTAAGCAATTCTCCAAGGTTTGGGACCAGTGCCTTTCAAATCTTCCTTCCTTCCCTTTCCTTCAGAGTGCTGATAAAACCATGAAGGTTTTTTGAGTGCTGCTGACTAAAATTGACAGCAGGAAAGCTTTGAGGGCATGTTAATGATGCTTTAGGAGGTCAGTCGGTGGGTGGAAAATAAAAGGGTTTGGTAGATGGGGAGCACTAATGTTGCAGGCAGTGAGATAGAGAATGTAAAACATGTCCGACCAGCAGGGGGAAATAGCTGGTTTTAATCCAGCCATTCTAACACAGAGGCCAGAATACCCGTTTGTTGCTTAATCATGGCACTTCAGTCAGAGAGCAAGGTATACACAGATATTGAAAACATCATCCTCTGCTGGAAGGAAACTAAAATAACTTAAAGCCATTTGTTGTCATTATAGCTTCATAACCTTACAGTAATCATTCTGTAATCACTCATCTTCATTGGAAATCAAGATGTTCACCAATGCAAAGGGAGACGGGGTAGTTAGGGAAGTTCTTTTTCTTTTTGGAACATCCTGAAAATCTTCTGAGTTTATTACTTATTAAATTACTTACATTACTTCTTTTTTAAACACTTAAAATGATCATTTTATTATAAGAGATACAAACGAACAGTCAGATAAGTGTATGTAAAACAAGGTAGGGAAATTCTTACAATCTGGTTGTGAAATTATAGAGCAAGGTGTTACTTGCACACAATGACATTTAATTTGAAAATTGTGTTTTCAGAACTGAAACTAGAGACTCTACATCAAAGGCATTCCTCATGAAGAGCATCCTGTATTTTAAAATATTCATTCTTAAAAAGAAAGATAACCTGTGTGCTTATATAAAGTTTTTAAATTTACTACAGAAAGGTTTATCTTTTCTTTTGAGAGCCTGGCTTTTCTATCATCTGTATTGAAAGAAAAATGAGTAATAATAGATGATAGATATACTTTGGCAAAGTAAAACAATTTTTGTTGATGTTTCCTCTACCCTTTAACCCCATGGTTTCCTTAAAATTTTACTCATCTGTAAAATTAAGAGATTGTAGCTATTTTCAGATGGATGGTCCATTTTTACCTACTTCCTTTTTCCCTCTCTCTCTCTCCACTGCCTCCCTCCTTTCTTCCCAGGGGAGCTTTGGCAAGGAACATTTAATGACCTGATATTCTGTATGCTAATTTGTGTGTTATGCCTATCTCATTTCAGAGGGAAGGAGTTGTGTGTGACCTTCTGCAATTCATTTAGGGTGTGTCCCTCAAGAGCTCTTCTTTAAATAGCTTCTTAGCAGAATTTCTTTGAAGATATGCATGTATTTTGTGCATTTCATCAACACAGGAGTGTTTTTCTACTTGGACATCATTCCAGTGTTTAAAAAATATCTATTCTTTCTAGTTTGTATCCAGTCTTGGTCACTGTGACCTTAGTTGGAGTCACTTAGTTTTATATGATATTGGAGGCCAGGCCCTACTTTATGTGCACAGCAGGTAAAACATTGCACATTCTTAGTAAATGTTAATTAATACTTTGTTTTTTATACACATAAAACAAAGTATGTACAGAAGTGCAGTTAACATTAAGTTAACAGAAACAAGACACCTTCTCTCATGTCCCCCTTTTTTTTTTCTTTAAATCATTATTTTGGCTTAAGTCACCCTATTGTTTTCCCTTTGCGTTTCTTATTTTTTAGCATGCCCATGAGAAGTGATACAGACCACATTTTCAGTTTGTGTTTTGTATGTGTTTTCAGTTTGTGGCCTGTCAACTCTAGGCTTCTGTACATTTTTCTCCCTTTTTTTCTCTTGGTAGTGAACTGTGTTTGTCATCATACCATTGCCGACTCCAGCCACTATTAGGAAAGCCTGGGTGACCTAGCCAGGCACACACATCAGTCACCTGACGTGGTTAGCAGCACGCAATGCATGCCTCTCTGCTTAGTTGAGGCAATAATTATCCCCTTAGAACTGGGAGGCAGATGGATGGCTGGGTTTTAAGCTAGTTCTCCTTGGGGTGCCTTGTAAACATAGCAGGTGGAACAAATTATGCATATAGAACACTGGTTGTTTTATGGAAGACCAGTAATTTCTCTAAGTTATCTCCATATTTCCAATGTGCACACACAGATACATGGGCAAGTCTGTAATTTGTGCATTAATAGCATGTGCCAGGTTAATCAACAAAATGGTCAGAATCTGAGATGCTTTTCAGTCTAGTCCCAGAGAAAAGGGTTTGCAGAAGCTATTTCAGTTTTTATCTTCTGTTCTGGTTCAATTTTCCTGATTAAATTCTGGGATATAATATTCAACTCCAGACTTGTCCCTATGATTAAGTTGGCCACTTTCTTCGTTTTGGGACTCTTATTTCCATGTGTCTGTGTTTAATTTTCCTGATACAGCACACTGGAGGTGGTGTGAGAGGAGGGTGGGAAGAGACAGAGGGTCAGAAAGAGGGGTGGAAATAATTCTAGGAACTAGACATGGAAAATTTTTTGTAATGTGCATGATTGAGTCACTATGCAGTGTGTACTGGATGGGAGATCGCATTTTGTGTGCTGTGATGATGCTTAGGGAAGGAATGTAAATTGAGTTACAAAAAAAAAAGTTTCAGGAAAACAAATATATATCTATTCAATGACTGCAGTAGGATATGTAGCCCCAGCTAGGTGCTACTTTATAGGATGCGTAAAGTTAGAC